AATTAGTCGTAAAGGTCATAGTTCACTAGTCACAAGTTTGAGTTCACAAATCACAGTCATTTTTATAGATCACATATCAATATTAACAGGCCACATGTCGTTATGTCGAGTCACAGTTCAAATTTATAGGTCACAGATCAATATTAACAGGTCACAGGTAACAATTGTCGAAATCGGAGTAGTCGCCGGAATAAAGAGGCAGCGGAACGGGAAAGTCGCCGGAAAGTTCGTCGGGAAAGTCGTCGGAACAGTTGCCGGAGTAGAACAATGACCAGAACGGTTCGCCGAAATAGTCCACTGAGCAATAGTGATGCGAAACCGGGTACGGGCAAAGCATGGAACTCGCGGAAATGATTTGAAACGCCGGGAAAGTCCAAAATTCAGGTTGTAGACGGTAGAATCTCGACCCGAGCCTCACGATTCAAGAACCTAAGGTATATTAAACCTTAGACCCGTTGATATACAGAAACAAGAACCATCGATTTGCGAACGCTACAAATGGTGTCTAATCATTTGATAAGTTTTAGGGTTGAACGCCCAAATATAATAATATATTTGATAAATTCGAATGTTTATGAAGAACAAGAAGAGAGAAAATCTCAATATTTCATTATGTCAAAAGTGTTGGTTACAATTATAGAAAAACCTATTTATATGGAAACTCTAAAATTTAGTTTAAAACAGAAATAATTATAAAATATTGCAAGAATCAAAATATAAAAGGAATTCTAGTCAAATTAGGTAACTCGCGAAAATTGGAAATATTCTCCCCGCATTTCTTCTATGCGGCCGCATAGAAGGTTTCTATGCGGTTGCATAGAAGGCCTTCACTGTGTCTGGAAATTCCCTGCAGGCATTGATGCAATCGCATGCCTATAGAACTATGCGACCGCATAGCTCTATTTTTCCCAGGTTTCTTCCTTTGCTCGTTTCAATGCTTTACAGTTCTTTCCGGCTCTCAACCCCAACATGGAACTTGACCCTGGCATACATGTCTTCAATATTATGGACTTCATTACTTGAACATGTAAATGATCGACTTTGTCAACTCTTTGAAATCTCGAACTTGGCTATATCCTCTCTCCAACATGCTTCGGATTCTTGATAAATAGTGGCGCACCCCGGATCATATCAGGTAGAGGTGATGGAGGTGGGGTGGGTTAATTATATTATATTAGAATTAAATATTTAATAATTTATTATTACATAAATAACAATAAAAAAATTTGATTTTTGAAATTTGAAACTTGTTTTCTTATTTTTGAAATATCATAAACTAAACATCTTAGTTATGAATTCTTCCCATAAATAAATGGTTAATTCTTCATTTTTGAGCATCTTGAATTAATAAAATTTCGTGAGTGTAATTTTCATTCTGTGGTGGATTCCAAGTTTGGTGTTTTTAAGATTTTCGCTTGAATGCCTTATTTCACGATGCGCTGATTCTCAAGGTAGGCAATTTAATATGCAAAATATGTCATTGTCTCATGGGAGTCATGGGACTAAGTTAAAATTTCTCATGTTTGGATATAATTAATGACATAAATTAAAAGAAGATAATTAAAAAAATTGGCCACTAATTAAAATATGATAAGAGATCTAATGTATAGAAAAAGAAAATTATTTGATATAAATTGCAAATCTAGATTTTAAAGGAAGAAAGAGATTAATGACTTGAAAGAAATTGGTAAACATGTTGACGGAAAAAACTTGTGTAAAAAAAAAAAGTAGGAATTTAGAAATATTTGTTACTTATAAGTTAAATTTTTACTTATGTAAACTTTATAGTTATAAGTAATTTTTCATTTATAAGTGGATTTTTAAAGTATAAATGACTTTTTATACTTGTATAAGTGAATTTTTATTATATAATTGCTAAGAATATTAGTAATATTTTTTTACTTAGAAGCAATTTTTTAAATAAAGTGATTTTTTTATCTTATTAGTGATATTTTACTTATAAGTAAATTTTTAGTTATAAAATAATTTTATACTTACAGTTGAATTTTTTTTGTTTACATATAATTGAATGTTCGTCTTATTATTGATTTTTTGCTTATAAGTAATTTTTTTAATTTACAATAGAATTTTGTAGTTTAAATAGTATTTTTACTTGTAGGCAATTTTTCACATATAAGTGGACTTATGTCTCATCAGTGACTTTTTACTAATAAGTAAATATCTTGATTAATAAATTTACTTTTAACTTATAAGTGATTTTTTCTTCTTATACAAGCATCTGTATAACTTTTAAGTTTATTTCATAAGTAATTTTTAACTCATATATAACTTTTTTAGTTAAAATTTACTTTTAAATTATACTTAAGTTCTTCAATTAAAATGAATTTTTCACAACTAAATATTTTCTTATAACTTGATTTTTTTAGATAAAAAAAATATTTTTTCTACTTATAAATGAAATTATTAACTACTCATCCTACCTGACATTAATTTTATCAAGGTACTAATTATACCAAACATCGAATAAAGATAAAGATCAAATTATTTAATCCTTATACATCTAATACAATGCGTCAAACATGCCCTGAATGAACTCCAATTCAGGCAATTATACGAACTACAATGCATGAAAGGAAACTGCATCATAAATTAGAAAAGACGAAAATCATTTTATAAATGAAAAACTCAACTAGATTTAACATGCATCCTGACGTTTCATACTGTAATTATACGAAACTTCTATACAGGACTGCTTCCAACAACTACAACATTCATAATCCTTCTAACATTTACATAATCAATAAATTCAATATATAACAGATACAGGTACCATCTAGTAACTTCCATGCATCATATTCCTATTGTTGTCGTTGAACTTCTCTTGCAGGAACCAAACTAGCAGAAGACAAATTCCATTAGCAATGATGATGGTTATATGGAGATGGATTATGAGCTTCCGGTCAAGTAGCAATTGCTGCTACCTGAGCTACCGATAACACAAGGCACATCACGAACGAGAAACTTGTTGGAAAACATTTCACCATGAGAGGAAATGGAGAAGAAACCAAAATTAAGACTAGCAACAACATCAATAAAATCAAGATTAAATTATCAAGAGCTTCCAGTCAAGTAGCAATTGCTGCTAGCCTGCTACCTGAGCTACCGATAACACAAGGCACGTCACGAACGAGAAACTTGTTGGAAAACATTTCACCATGAGAGGAAATGGAGAAGAAACTACAATCAAGACTAGCAACAACATCAATAAAATCAAGATCAACATCAAAAGAAGAAGATGAACTTATCTTTATGTTTCCCGAACATTGCAATTTCTCCCTTTTATAGATTGTGATCTTCCATGCAAGTATTGAAAAAACTCGATGCAAATGAACAAACAACTTCGAAGAAGATGAAAGGCTCAAATGCGTGAACATCGCTATCCTCAAACAATATTTGCCCCCTCTCCGATACAATTTGGCGCTTAAAGTGTTTTTCGGCAAATAGTTTGTAGGATTAATCAAGCATTGAAGAGAATTCAACATTTAACTATTTAAGCACTGATGTGATTCTCCAAAACTTCAAGAACACAAGGGGAGATTTGAATATGAAAGAAGAAAGAATAATTTCTTTATTGTGAAATGAAGATTATGATCACTCTTTCTTGTGAAATGAAGATTATGATCACTCTTTTTTCAAGTGTTTTCCATGTGAATGTATTGATCATCTTATAGCCTACTTATAGGCCTTGATCAATGCCCCACAAATTGGTGCCAAAACTTATCGAAGAGTTGCAAGATACCCTCCAAAAGCTGCCAAAAACTGAAACAAAAAAAAATGCCCAACGGCTAACCAAATTAGCCTGTGCATACGCACGGTAGAGGCATTTTCGCCTCTAGTTTGGCCATCTCCAATCTCGTGTACGCACGGCTAAATTGCCTGTGCATACGCATAGGCTTAATTGCCAACATATTTTCCATTATCTCAATTTCATTCCACACACTTCCCTTTTGGTTTTGAACAACAAATTATCAACAAAACTTCACTGTGCGACCGCCAATAAAATCCAAAATTTCGAGGCATTCCTGCAAGTCCAAGTCGTTTATCAACATCACCCATTCCTCTTCATCATCAAGATACTTGAGTTGGAATTCCCCCATTTGCAGTTTGAACCTCTTTGCTACCTCTTCATAGAGTTGAAAACACCCTGCAGTAGGCTCAAATTTAAACCGGACTGTATCTTCCTTATAAGCAGCTTTCACTGTAATTTTTGAACTATTGTCTCCACATCTTTAGGGAATTCTTCTCTAGCAAGGAAAGAACCTTGGGGAGCCTTTGCGGAAGTGACCCAAGGCATGGTACATAGTTCGGACTCATTACAGTTTTGGGATCAGATTCGAAATGAACTCACCACTACTCGAATTTGGACTGACAACATTTATTCCAGCCATTTCATTTCCATCCACAAAAGACTTCCATTTTCATAGTGCTGGTCTCAATATCAATGCAAGATGTCGGAGTTGCTGAGATCGTGTAGTGGGTAACAACATCAGTGTCTCTAACATGATTATTACTGGGGATAAGAGAACATTTTTTTGGTTCAAACTCTTGGTTCGTAGAGCCAGCAGCCACGAGACCTCCCGTAATTGGATCAAACTTCAATGTTGCCTCCATGCCCTGAACAGAGTTGAGCACACTTTGTATTTTCTTCAAAGAACGATTCACTTTGTTTATTTTGCGAGATGGCCACTTTGAGATGCCATGTTGTCCAGGGCCGGCCCTGAGAATTAAGAGGCCCTAGGCGACTAATTATTCCGAGGCCCTTCAACATAATCATTTTTTCATAAGTGCAGCAAAATTTAAATATTTCAATAATTAATACTTTTATATTAAAAAGAAGATTTTATATAATTCAAAAGATAGAATAACTAATCCATTTAATCGTTCTTGTGACATTGTTGATGGAAGATAAGATTTAATCAACAATATATCATTATATCAAATAACAATCTC